ATAAGATTTGCCTTAATTAGGTAAAATTGACCATGTTCAGTTTTTTTAAAAAGCCTTTTTTGGATGATTTTTTAAATTTTCATAATTTTAAATCAGTGAAGTTTATATAAATCCAAAGATTAATCGCTCTTAATAAGGTTAATTAAATTAATTATTCCACAGTTCTGGTTAAGTTAGCTGTAAGTACAATTGGAAATCTGCACCAAGGACTTCACTTAGAGATAGAAGTACAGTTCGTAATGGCAGGTTTACTCTTATCAAGGGCAGGAACCAAACTCTATCTCCATTAACGATAATCGGAATTTCTATCCACAACGGCTATCGTTCTTCCTCCTAATACAAGTAGATTTTTTAATGATTTTTTAAATAAATAGAAATATGAATATTTATTTATTATACAAAATGAATCAGACAGACATGCTGGGACATTATTATTGCATTCATACACAAATAAGCAATGCAATCGCGTATATTTGCTTTTGACGCTCTCTTAAAAAACGAAAAAAAGGAAAAAATTTGAAAAAAATAGTCAGTGACATTGGAAAATTGCAACCTTAAATAATATTTTGCTTATGTAATAAATTTTCATTTTGTTAATTGTAATCTTTTTTAAGGAACTTTTCTTTCCTATTGTGTCTGCAAATGTAATAAACATAAATAAATAAATAAAGTTTTATTAGGTTTATTTGTGAAATTTTTTGATTATTAAAAAAAACAATTATTATGGTAAATAATTTTGTAAAAATTTTTGTGAAAAACATAATTTTGTAATGAAATAAACAAAAAAACTAAATTTGCAATTGAATAATTCCAATTCATTATCGCTATTATTGGTATTACATTGTTATCAGTAAGCTTTGTTAGGTGTATATCGATGACTTGGTGACAAGATGGTTGTCACTAAATGGCCTGGGTAACAAGAATCCGGTCAAGGCAGCAAGCACCCTTCGTCGGGCTACAGTTTCGCGGAATGGCGACAGCAAAAAAAGAGCTCAGTGAATTGCTCAGTTTGGAGCGCAGATGCCGAGTTTGAGTCCAGCAGTAATTTAACTGCAATTTAACTGGTCCGATAAGCCAGCGGAACCATAACCAGCAGTGGTGAAATAAAACAAATGCACTATTATTAATATCATTAGTAATTCCATTAAAAATTAGTTTTATTAATTAATATAGCGTTCATTGCTTGCATCTTTTCATTTAAAAATAATGATCGTTTACTTTTAACAGCTGTCGACAATCGAATCGTTTTTATAAAAGTGCTTGTTTGACTTTTTGGCGATCTTCATTAGCGAAAGGAGATTGAAAATCGCTTCGATTACTTGTTGCTTCTACTTACATCGCAATTTGCATTATTTCTACGCTTTTTTCTTTTTTTTCATTCCCATTTTTCTTTAATTTTATTCGTTTTTCCATTCTCTTCTTCTTTTTAGCTAAAAAATCGTCTCTAACGAATTTTATTTTAGGCTGAAAAAATTTTATTATTTTTTCTTTGGGTAAATTTCATTTTTTACTAGAAATTTTATTCGTTGTTTTTGAAGAAATTCGATTGCATTTTCTTTATACTGAAACTCCACTTTTATAATAATAACTTTAATAACTTTTTTTAGAAAGCAAATTGTAATTGTTTTTTCTTCTTTTGAAAAAATGACAAAAAATAAAAAATCAAAAAAAGACAGTCAAACGGTTAAATTTTTTTCTGGATAATGAGTCCATTTTATTCATTTTTGCTGATTAATTTATCATATTTATTAATCCAGTGGATTCATTAAGGCAGTCGACTTTACCAAATCGGTAAAATTGTATCAATAAATAAGAAAAATAATGGTTATCATTTTCGATTAGGTTCGGTCCACTGGCTATTACACGCATGGAAATTTTATTAGGGAGTCGCCTGGCGGTAGCCTAGGTTAAATCCAGATTTTTTAATGAAATTCTCAAATCTCTGCGGCCTGAAACTATTTAACACATTAAAATTTGCTATTCACATTAAAATTTATCAGTGAATTTATATATATACAATTAGCAAATAAAGTTGAACTAAAAATTTTTTTATACAAAGATAAACAAATAAATATTCGTTGCGAGAAATGAATTAATATTTTTACCATGTTAGCCAGTTTGAATCAATATGTTTTATAAGGGCGGTTCACAATTTCTGGTTAGGTTTGCTCTACCGTTGTTAATGGTGAGAAATTTTTTCAGGGAATCACATAGGGATAAAAGTGGAAAGGTGGTCAGCACTATTTGAAATTCCCGATGGCAGATTTATACATGTTGAAAGCGAAATCTGAACTTTTGGCTTTCAAGATCAATATTTGACGATAATCTGAACAAAAACCATTTGGTTATCATGCCCTTTATATAAACTGAATCATATGTGTATATTTCGATTATCAGCAACTATTGAAATTAATTATCATACCGAAGACCATTGCGTTGCATAGGAGAGAGAACCAACCTCAGCATCATCTTTGTTAAATGTCTACTTTTTTTATACAGAAATTTTTTTTTACGATTCTATAGCCAAACTAAAATGGGCATATAATTGATAACTCACTGGTTACTACTTCAATTATGCTCACTCCACTGTTTATAAGCACTATGAGAAATTTTTGTCGGAGAGTTAGTGTCACCTGGATTTTTTTAACGTCAAGTCCTGTCATAAGCAGGAGTCGAATCATGGCGCTCGAATCTATGCAGCAATCATTCCACTATTATTCCTTCATATACTTTTATGTAATAATTATTGTTATTTATCCAAGAAGTTTCGTTTAATAATTTTTATTATTTCTTTGTACCGTGAAAATTTCACAGGTGATTTCAGAGCTAGCAAAATATTTTAGACTTACTTTCTTCGCTTTATATTAGACACAAAGTTTTCTATATAATCGTCGACCATTTTTAATTTTTTTAAATGACATTCACCATTCTACTACCATTTACCATTTAAAAATAAATCTTTAGTTTTAATTTCATAAAGAAATATTTATGAAAAGAGAGAATTAGAAATTTTGAAAAGCTAATCCTTAGTTCGATAATAAAAAGATTTTCCTTCGTTATTAATAATCACGATAGGTAAAAAATAAGTGTTTAGCGCATATTATTTCTGGTTGAGCTTGCTTTGTTGGCTCTTAATATGGTAAGAATTTTTGCCAGAAGTCAGTTTGAGAAATCAAATAATGAAAATTTGAAAAATAAAGATGGATCACGTAGCACCACTCGTTTTTAATGACAGTTTCATTTCTCTAGGAGACAGGGACCGACTCTTGACCATCAAAAAAATTTGAGCGATACAAGTAAGAGTCATTTATCTAGCCTACCTTTCCAGCATTCACAGCGATCATCTCATTCAAACCATCTCTTTTCAGAGTTTGAACGATCTAAATCTGAATTTTTATATTTAATATAGCATTCCACAAATTGGTTTAATTTTATGAAAAAAAATCGGATTTTTTCTTTCTTTGCGTTTAATATCGATATTCACCAAATTTATTTTTGTAAAATTAAGGTTTTAATAGATTTAAATTAAATTAATTAAAATTAAATTTTAAAACTGAAAATTGATTTTTTCTATAATTTTGCGATTTTTGGCTATTTGTTTATTGTTTCATTAGCGAAGCGATTTGATTTTCGTTTTTGAGAATTATCCTAATTTTCTGTGCTCAAAAATTCTGTAAATATGATTTCTTTTTCATGGTTTATTTATGGTTTCTCTTTTATAATCAAATTATTCGTTCCGGATCAAAATTTTATTAGAATATATTGCTTACCGTATATATTTTATCATCGTCTTCACCATTTTTAGTTTGGTCGGCTGCATTGGATGTTATTATAAGATTCTTCCACCAGAGAAGAACTTGTGGATAGAACTCTTAAATCATCTATAGTATCGTATTTCGCCTTTTATGCAGTTTAATATTTTAGGTTTAGAAATTTCTTTCTTCTAAGTTTTGACTTATAGAAAGTTCTTTTTCTAAGACTTTTTTTTTAATTTTAAAATTATTAATATATTTTTAAATAATTCATTTTATGAGAAAATTTTTCCTAATCCAACGAAAAATATCTGTTCAGATATTTCAATCGATTAATATTGCCTAAAATTTTTCAGTTTCTTCCAAACGATCTTTATAAAAATAAATATTGAATATTTCATTTAAAAAATATATTTATCTATCATCGGCTGTTGGATGAATGTAAAATTGAATAGGACAAAATTTCTAGTACACAATGCCAACAATTTTTGCTATTCGATTCATTTGATGTAACATTTCTAGTTTGTTGTTTTTCATTTAGTCTACAAATTTAATATTTAAAAAATGTTGATCGTCGAATTAAGTACAACTATTTTTAAATATTTAAATAGAATAATGCATAGGGTACCAGACTGTACTGAAGACCACGAGCATTTTTGTCCACAAATGACCTTTCGGTGAACGCTCTTATTTTAAGAGCCAGTAGAGCCAGCTAAATTTGAAATGCTATTGGAAGATAGAAGAATAAGTTTTAAATTATAATTACATGTAAATGATAGATTCTATAGATTATGGAGTCGGACAAGTATTAACATAAATTTTTCGCCAGAGTATTAGACATTAAGTCAGTAGTAATAGCAGTGCATTTCAACATTTTTTGACTTTTATAAATCTAACCAGTAATGAACCGGTTGATTTGGTAATAAATTCAAGAATTTTCATTGAATATAGATAATGAATCCATATTTTTAGCACCATCCATATTTTTATATCACGAAATATATCAGTTAGCGATCACATAGTCAGCTAACAAGCGAAATTTTTTAGTTTTAGACACATTGGAGTCCTATAGAACGATATGCGAACCTAAAATCATCGTAAATATTGGCAATTAGCAGGCAAATATATAAGCAGTGGAAATAGTTTTAATGACGATGAAAATTTTGCGAAAAATATATAGGGGAGTATAAAAGAAAAATAGAAAGGTATGTAACATTAGTGTAATTAGTGATTCACTTGCTTTCATAGTTATTCAATAATAGGACCCATTACCATTTGTTTGCATCTATTTTTGCTTTGTAGTAATATTATGTATGTATTATCATTACCACCATCATCACCATCATTATCATCATCATTAACATCACCACAATTATTATCACCATCATTATCATCTGCATTAACATCAGTACCATCACCACCACCATCATCATCATCATTATCATCATCTTCATCATTATTATTATCAACAGCAGTAGCAGCAGCATCAATCATCACTACGGCTGTTCATTACCGAATAAATAAAAAAATATTTAAAAAATAGTATATTTATACCATTAAATATTTGATAAAGTTTATTTTTTTGTAAAAAAATTATAGATTTAGTTCTAAAATATAATTTTAAAATAAATAATAAAATATAGTTTGGTAAGCCGTACTGACTACTAAGGTAGAGTCCTATCACAAGTGTCATTTGAGAATAGATGAATCCTCAGCTTCGTCCGGATTTCACTTTTAATTAGTTGAACGTCAGCTGCAAGAATTGATTTGGCCTCAATCAAAGCAAATGAACCATCCATTCTGAATATAAAAATACTCAAATTTTTATTGATCAGTAGTTTTGCAACAGCAATTCATTCACTTTTTGCTTACTTTATTTCTGCTCTGTTCGTTATTTCGTTATCGAAATCTGATGGAATTATGGAAATTTTGATTCGTCCCATAAATCGCTTATGAATGCTTATTTTGATATATTTTGCGATTAATGAAGATTCTCCAAACATTGCCTGCATCATTCAGAAATAATGATAACTTACAATTTATGTACTGACTTCTATTTCATATTGAAAATTGATTTTAAAAAATGAAAATTTTAATTAAATTCAGGAATTGTAATTTTGAGAAATACTATAATTCTAAGACTGAAACCCAAAAATAAGAAAAATTTCTCGAATATTGAATGTTGAATGATTTTACTTCTCGGAAATGTCGTTTAAAATGTATTTTGCAAAGCTGTTTTCATAAAACTTTTTTTAAAATGTTAGTTGATTGATAAATTGGCGAAATGTCAACCGATCTGGAAAATCCTTGAATATTCATCTATCGCACGTATCATAAAACAGAAAACGAGCTGCATTAATTCATCGTCGCTTATTTCCCTCAATCTGATAAAAATAATATAATCAATTTTATTTTAGTCGTTTAATCGATAGGCTTAATGTGAAACAGTGTTTTTGACTGGATAAAACTCGTAACAAAAGAAGAAGAAAACAACTCGTGTGATGTAAATAATGAACGATGGCGATCGGCTGCTCGAAAATCCATCAATGAGCAAGGATGCTATGTTATTTAATAGTTATGAGGATTTAAAAGATGCAAAACTTCGACTCGATGGTAACGCTACTTCTTTCTTCTACAAGCATTTTTTCGAGTTGCACGCCATGCGCTAAATTATGAATTCGGTTTATTAACAGTTATATTTATAAAAATTTCCGACGTTTCGATCAGTAAAAATTTTCTATCGAAAAATTTTTCATAAAAATACGAATTTTGCAAATAAGAATTTCGATGGTGATAATGATGAAAACAAGATGTGTTATTCTTCCGCTATATTTCAATTTACTTTTCTTCAAATAATAATACTAATAAAAATATAATTCAGATTCGGACCAACAGTCGTCTAAACAAGAAGTAAGTGGTGACAACAAAACGGGTAAACAGGTATTTTGCATTCTATTTTCGTTTTCGTGAAATATTAACGCACATTACACACTGTCAGAATTACTGAATGTCTCGCCAGGTTCTGAATTAGATTTGATTATTGATTTGCATGCTTATATGCTTCTTTCTACCCTTTGTAGAGGAACTAAGATTTTTTTGAGGGATACGATCAAATCCAATTTAAAATCTGCAGGCGAACTCCAAATCCCCCTAAATAAATAACAGCTTTCAAATCTCCAGGTAAATCAAATCTTATTATTCAAATCATACGATACCATCCGAAATAATTTGCTTCAGTTTGCTAATCCACTGAGTAAATCACAAGGCGATGGTCTGTGTGTTAGCATACTCACCAAGAATACTTCAATAAATGCTAATGCAGTCTCCGATGAAAAGTTTTTACACCACAACAATAAAAACGGTTAGTTCGTTTTTAAATTTCGCAACTTTCTCATTATTGTATTCGCCAAAAAACTATCTGAAAACTTATAGTTTCAAACTGTAACCAAAAATGCATAATTTATTTATGAATTCCATGATCTCCGTATAACGGCCATTTTATTTCGCTTTATTCGACAAGCTTTGCTCTCGTAAGCTTTTTCTCACAAATGTCAAACTAATATAGGTACGAAGTCGTCTTGTGTGTCGTCATGCAAAAGAAAACCAGCTTCACCGAAAAAAAGACTCTTAGCACAAGAAGTAGACTTTTTTTCGATATTTTATTCAAATAACGTAAATTCTTAGACGAGAATTTAATTCCATATTTTAATTATGAGAATTCGAAATTTTTCGAATTATTCTATTTCAATAATATATTTTTAGCTTTAAACAAATACCTTTTAAAATGATATTAATTCGTGCTGAAAGTTAATAATCCTTTAATTTAAACCTTTAAACCTTATTGAATTTTGCGGTAAATATTTGTTTTTATCAAAAATCCCAAGAAACAAAGAATGTTTTAAAATTTAAGACGACTGAGAATAAAGTTTTAATTAAAAATGTCGAAAAACCAAATCGGACGACATTTTCTCAAGTAAGTACCATTAAAGTAATAAAAATTAAGAGTATCGCAATAAGCGCAGAAACGGGAGAAATAGTTGACGATTGCTTATCAAAGGAAGCAACTTGCTCGGATCCAGTGAAAACTGAAACACTGGAAATGAAAAAAATTGTAGATGGTTATGATTAATTTTCATAATTAAATATTATAAACAGAATTATTCATTCAAAAATTTTCATTGAAGATATTTTGGCGAAATTTAAATTCATGAATGTCAGTCTTTGCCATAAATTTCCAATATTCATCTATAAATTAATTTTCCCTTTATCGTTAATAGCCAAAATATTATCGGAATCACTAAAGAAGAAAGGAAGCCATCATGCCAGCACATTCTTCGGTTATTCATCAAAATTCTTACCATTTCCATTTCATGTATAAATCCTGAGAATCCTTATTGCGTAATTTATTTATGTAAATTTAATATCAATTTGCAAAGGTATTTGCAGGTTTTCGACGGAAAAAATACATGAAAAACAACAAATCCTCAGCATTTTCGTTCGTGAACAATAGTTTATCGGTACCTGACTTGCAGACATTGGCATCGATATTAACGAACCAACCGAATCAACTAACCTCATTTACGAAATCTAAGTAAATCAGATTTGTTGTTTTCCTCGTTTTATCCAGTCATACCACAAAACCAATATTATTTTCACTGAATATTGAGGATAATAAAGTCGTAGATTTTAAGTACAACAAAAATAAATATGGAGAAATAAATGAGATGGTGATAGGCAATAAACTGCTTAGCATCGACTCAGTTATTTGCTCTTCTTTCATATGATCAGATCAAACTATAATGTCTTAACAATGCAAAGAAAACGAACCGATTTTATTTTGTCTATATCCGAGCGATTCAAACAAAATTGAACAATAATAAATAATAACAATAAATATTTATTTTTAATTTTTTAAAACAGAAAATAAAACAGAAATTATCGACGAAAGGGGAAACGGAAACAACTCATGGAAATTCAATATTCAATAATATTTCAATAATATTTTTTCTTTTTTCTTATTTCTTATTCGAATTATCAGTATTTTTTTCACCAAATTTTATTCGATTTAACCGAAATTTCCAGAAAAGATAAGAATACAATCACAAAAGATAACGATCAAATCCAATCAAATAAGCACTCAGCGGATTTATTAAATAGCCTAGCAGCTGCTGATATTGCCAGTACACTTTTTGGATCACCACATAATGTAACCGCACTAGACGCTGCAATAAACGGCTTACTGCTTGCCGGACAAGGTAAAAAATTAAAAATAATGAATTAGGTAAAAATCAAAAATAAAAGTAATTAAATAAAAGTAATTAAGATTTAAAATTATAAAAAATTAAAATTTATGGGTACCAATATTTTTGCGAATATTTTTGAAAAAAAATGGAATTAACCTGGATTAGACAACCGCGCGGAAGGGTCAACTGTGCACTGTGCACGTTTATGCGAATTTTTCTTTCATTTTATTCCATCATTTTCTCTTAATAACTTGAAATTTCAAATTTTTTCTTTCAAATTTTAGTCACGAAATTCAATTTTTTTGTTTATTTCATTAATAAATCGTTTAATTTTTTGCGATTTTTTAATATTTTTTGATAATTTTAATTTGTTCAATGAAATTTGGAAATTTTGGAAATTTTTAATGAAATGAAATGAAATTTCCTTTTTTTTTCAAATGGGAATAGAAAGTACATTAAATATACCAGAAATTTTTTGTTTTTTGTTTTTTATTTCTATAATATTAATCAATATTTTAATAATTTTTCCATTGCACTACACTTTTTTCGCTATTTTTCACGGCGCTTCTTCCTCTGCGCTCTTTATTTTACTTTACTTTTCTCGCTTTAATTTTTGCGGCAGTGTTATTCCCTTTTCTCTTTTCATTTTCCAGTGAAGCACTCTAGCTGCACTTTTTTATAATTCCAAGGCATCGAATATTTAAACAGATCAGATGATTTATTAATATTAACTTATTAGGCATTCTTCTTCTTTTAACAGCTCTCACCATTATCGGTTAGGTTGACTGCAGTGGCTACAAGGGTAAAACGCTTCCAATCGACGCGATCGTCGACAGTAATAGAAGCCATTCCTTTTTCTATCATCTATATTGCTGGTCCACCTATACGTTCAAAATCTTTTCTTACCGTATTAGACCAAGTCTTGATTGGCACACCTCACTTTTGACGCCAACCATCATAGGGTTTAGCAAGTAACGGAATATGCGTCAACTCTTGTGGTGGAGAACGGAGAACGTGCCCTAACCAGCGAAGGCGATGCTCTATGATTATATTATTTGTGCAAGTGGTATTTGAACGAAGGTGGATGCGATCATGTGATATCTTATCCGCTCGACGGATCCGTAATAGGTACCTTGGACAAGAGTGGTCAAAAGCAGATAGCTTCCTAATATCCTCCATTCCCTTGGCCATGTCTCAGAGCCATACAGCAAGATCGAACGAACCACGACTATATAGATGCGGAATTCCGTTTTTATGGTGATTTCACGACGACTCCGTAAGGACGCGTTTCTGGCTGGCGTGATCCAGGTATTAGGCATTCACTGTTTATTAAATGCATCTAACTTACCATCCATGTTCGTATTGTATCGGTTAATATCGCCGTAAATTTTATATGGAAAATGTTCACTTTAAATTCTCGCATTTGGAAGCTGTCTTATGTAACATCTATTTTTAAGAAGGGCGATAGACATAGGCAATAGGCAACAAATCACCTGATTATTGTCCTTTAAATATTAATAATATTTTTCTGAAAAAATATTTTTCTCCTGTGGGTGGTAAGGGTCATCCTTTACTTCGGGTCCTCTACCAGAGGCCTGGGAGATTAAGGGTTCCGTGTGGATTTGAGGGTCACAATTTCAAGCCTTTGGTATCTCTCTAGCATCTCATATTCCTTCTTCTTCCTTCTTCCTAATGTTCCTGTCACTTGGTACTGCACCAGTGCTGATTCCTAATTCTTGTCTACTACCACGATATCTGGTTGACTGAGCAGTACTTGTTTGCCTATCTGGATGGATAATCTTCGCCTTATTGTTCTCCACTATTTTCTAGAGAATCTCCCCATCTAGTCTTGGGAAGGCATATACTGAACAGGTATTCCTGCAGATAATACAAATAATGCTACTTGGTTATATCATTGTATATTATTCTTGCTTGCATTTTATATCACGGCATCAAACTTCTGCAACATTTTTTTCAACAATAAAAAATCCCTTTCTCACCATCTGTGGGTACCCTCGATCCTGGGCCCTCTAGCAATAGACTGAAAAGTTGAGGTAAGACAGGTAAATTTTCGGAGGGTCTCAAGGACTTTCACCAGGAAGATAAAGAGGATTAGAAAAATTCGAAGTGCAAAATTTGGATATTAATTTAAAATGTAATTTAAGTGTAGTTGCATATTATCTATTGGAAAGTATAAAAATTTACGTATTTTTAAAATAAAATATTTTATTAAAATTATATTTTTATAATTACATTTTATTTTATTTTATAAAATAAAATCTACCGATTTTCCGTTAAGGCAAAGTATATTAATAATATCTCAGAGATTTTGATTTAAATCTGATAATCTTAATTTTAATCTCCTCAGTATAATTATAATCATGCCAACATTTCTTGAAAATATATAAAGAACTTTCAACTCTCCTCATTGAGAATAAAGTAGAGTCTATTATTCATCTAAATTTAAGGAGTTTATTCCTCACCTTGGTTTAAGAAGTCCGTTAATTCAATTGAGAACCCTGAAAAATATTTTTTAGCATTTGAATCTGAACGCTGCTATTACTGACTAACCATTAAAACTGAAACCATTTAATTTCACCAAGAATAGAAGAATATCTCTAAATGTTTAAATCAAAATCTCTGAGATATTATCAACATATTTTGCCTTAACGAGAATCGGTAGATTTTAATTTAATAAGTTTAAAAAAAACATGGTATAATTAATATTTGATTTTGTTACATAAAATTTATTGGAGAGAAAGGAGTGGGAAATTGAGAAAACTGTTTGTAAGTCTGAGACAATTTTTCATTCGTTGCATCAGCTATTGGAATAAACTGCCCACTGAGATAGTTTTTGCCTCCCTCATCACTCACCAGTTTTGCAAGTAAATCGGACGAAATTTATCCATAACATCATTTTGTTTAAATATATCCTCGGAAATTTTTTATATTTTCTTTTCTATTTGACCGTTCCTTTTTGTTGTGTACGCGCCATTTGAGTTCTGTTGAATAAAATATTTTTTAGCATAAAAAGCGGAAAGATTCTAGTTTCAATTTAATTTAGGAGGATGCGCAACGACGACGACGACGACGACAAATCAGCTTGCACCATCCGACATGATTCCTCTCATGAATGGATTATTACCTTTCGTCACCACTTCACTTCCAGCGAACACTCTCGAAGGTCTGTCGCTTAACAAATATTACTTGCATCCTATCTGATATCTGATATGGAGGTGCTTCTTTCCTTTCGCACTGTCACCTTCATTATTCATAATGCCACGCCACGTATCTTTTCTTAACTGATAACCCTTATCTTCGCATTATCAGCTCCCGCCAACGGCAACTACGGCGCCGTAGTTTAACAGATAAAATGCAAGTGAAAAACCTTCGAAAAACTCAGAACAAACTAAACTTATAAAATTCGTAATCAATAATAAATAGAAATGAATATTTGCAATAGTAAAGTTAAATAAAATTAAATGAACAAATAAAAATTAAATGAAATAACGCAGAAAATTAAAATCAAACGAAAAGAATTTTGCAAACTGAGTCTTACAAAAACAGAGTTTAAAAGGCGAGAAAGAAACCCGACGAAGCTGACTAGTTGTGATTTTTATTTGTCGGTTTTATGACATTTTTTGCGATTTCACCTAAATTTTTGCGAAGGTTGTTTTACTCGGCTTGAAGAAGTTCGGTGTTGGTTACAATAGTGGATTTTTGGAAATGGTTCTCGGCTCTTTCTTTTGTTCAGTTGTTCTTTTAATTAGCGGATTTCATCTAGAAATTTATTTGAAATTAACGAAAATGCTCCCTTCTTAATTTTTCATTTGTATTTATTACTTCTTGTCTGTCTGCTTGCTTTATTTTAAGGAGGAGTAGTTCCAATGGGAATGGCGGTGAAAGTGAAGAGCACCCCAAGAGTGCGTCCTTAGGTGCTCCCGTTTCACCACTTCCGCACCAATAAATGAGTCTGCTCTGTGTGATGATGTCTCATTCAAAATCACGCCAGCAATGATAATAATGATGGTTTATAAATTAAGTTAATAGAAAAGAGAACATAAAAGCAAATGTTTTCTTCACGTTTATTGATTCTTTTTCAATAAGATTTCTTTATTTTTTTGCATTCTTAATAAAAATTAATAATTATTTAACTGAAATTCGAAATTGGAAATGGAAGTAAGTTTTTCAGTAGTTTCGGTTTAAATTTTCGAATTTGTTGTTATGTATTATTATTATTATTATCACTAGCAATTATCCATTTAATTATTAATATAGTTGCTTATATTGTTATTATTAATTTTTAGGCATCACGTCCAATTCACAAACAAATCTTGCATTTTTAGAAGCGACAGCTGCCGCAGCTGTAGCAAACGATGCTCTACAAACTTTACTTAGTTATTTTTTATTCTTTCCTACTGTTCATCTCTTTTTACTCATTTATTTGACAAAAAAGGTGAAATATTCTTGATTCACAAGTTTCCATACTCCTTTGCCGGGTCGTGAAATCATTCCAGAGTATTTTATGAGCTTTTTAATTCTAGTTTCATCCGTTATACCAACTTGTGCACGCTCAGCAACAGTTGGAATAGGATTTTAGCTGATGTAGTTTTCTCTTCCATTGGTTAAATTTCAAAAATAATTTCAAAAAAATGATTGTTTAAATCTTGTTATAATTGCAGCTTTGCTTCATCTCTTTGTTATTCGCTTAAACTATTTACTCCGTTGTATTTTTTATCTTTTTTAGTTATAAAATGCCCAAATTGCATACAGTAACATTATCCTGCAAATTTGTTAATGAAAAGAGAGAATAATCAAGAAATATATTTATTGAAAACAAGATAATATTAAATTTACTATAAAATAATTTACTATTACTATAAAAGTAATAAGATTTATTTCTCATAATTCCACTGAACTTTAGGAAAATTTGCACGTTAGAAAATAAACGCAAATTTTATCTTAGGTATTAAAATTAATTTACTTTTTTTCTGCTTTTTGAAAATAAATTTTGATAACATTGATCATTTGTTTTTTCGGTCGCAAGTTTTATTCGTTCCAGGTGGTAGTAGTGATTCTGGATCATTGGCACCACCTTCAACTTCCAGCATACTCGATATATCACTAAATTCCAAGGGGAAATCGTTAAATGTTGCTTTAAATGCCAGTAAGCAGGAAGAAGAAATAGAAATGAATCAGACTAGTTGCATAGTGAGTTATTCATAAACTGACCATTTTTTATTTCCTTATTTTAAATTTCAGAGTTAGTTGCTTAAAAAATGTGAAAAATTTGAAGCCAATTTCCAAATTTTGCTCAATTAATAATAAATTTTATATTATATTATATTTTAATTTTATATATCTATCCTCAGATTTGTCCTTAACCTAATGCACTAAGATTTCAATTAGTTTAAATATTGATGTGCTACAACTAAAAAATGCGGCTTAATTTGATATTTTAGGAGATTATGTTTGACAAATTTAAAATACATAAAGAAATATTATTGTCTTGGTTTTAATTAATCAATATTGGTTCGATAAGGTGTTAAGAGGGTTTTGAGGATGTGAAGAATTATGGTAATTTTTTCTTTGGATTATACTGGTAATTAGGTATATAGGAATATATAGTTATATATAGTTAATATAAGAATCTAATGTTGCTAATGAATTGTGACAAAAAGATATAGTAGTACAACTAGGAAAATTATTTCCGAAGATCATTTAGGAATTTCGAGAATTTAGAGATTTCGAGAGATATTAAGGAATTAAATAAGAAATAGGTTTGGAGGAAATTTTTATGGTGGTATAACGGTGAAAAATGGTTATGTGGAGAATGTTATGGGTTACAATAAAAGATGTCGTTGAGGGTGGACAAAGTATTAAAAAGAAATTAGCGAAAATTTACGGACAGTGAGGAGAGTTCTTGCAAAATTCGGCAGGTTTTGAAAGATACAGGTGAGTTTTTTCACACTTAATTGTATATATGCATATATGTTTGTTTAAAATTATTTATAGAGTAATGGTCGTGTTTCATCAACTAAGCCATCTTTTCCACAGTTATCTAACGATAAGGTGTCAATGAAGCGAAAAATTTTGGCTCTTGATGATGAGGTTTGTGATTTTTTACTTTCTTCCAAAATTATAGAGATTTAATCCCTATTACGAAAAAGTGAAGTGAATTTTTATGCAACTAAAATATATTGTCCTTTTATCCTTTGTTTTTAGTTCAGTTTGATTTTTTCGAACTTTATTCTTTTATTCTAATTCATTTTTTGAAGTGACGTTTTTTTTATCATTATTTTTTAACTTTATTTTAACTTCATTTTAAATTAATTTAATTATCACTTAATTTTGTGATTTATTCATTTCGTCATTGTTATTTAGAATTCATAAATTATTTTTTTTCGTTTTAATTGTAAAATTATTTTTTCTTCAAGACAATTCGTAACGCATCTCGTGCAATAACGCGTGAAGAGCGTATCGATTTAGAAGAACTGGAAAGTTTTGCTCAAAAATTCAAGCGCCAACGCATAAAGTTTGGTAAGTTTGAAAAAAATGAATTGCAATATATAATTTGATTGCGATTTTTGATATGAATTGATGTGATATCAAGCAAAAAATGTCTAAATGAATCAAATGGGCCCAGTTTTCGATATTTTGGATTTCTTCCTTATTTGAGAGGTTTTCTTTAGGAATGAAATAAATTCTTTCAAAATGAAACGATTTATATTCTTAATTTCCAGGTTTTACTCAGGGTGATGTTGGCATGGCCTTAGGTCGTCGTTATGGCACTGATTTCTCGCAAACTACTATATCACGCTTTGAAGCCTTAAATTTGTCTTTCAAAAATATGTGTAAATTAAGACCTCTATTAAAGGAATGGCTAGCAGATGCAGAAGCTGCTATAGCAAATGGTGCATCAGTTAGCGATCTGCTTGAAATTAATCCAAACGATTCTCAAAGTCAGGTAGTTATCGTGTTTTAATGCTTTTTCTTTCTTTTGCAAATTCCAGTGAATTTATATTTTTGCTTTTAAGTAAAAACATATTGGATTTGAAATATTTTTAGTGTCTTGATAACAGTCTTGGATCGTTAGCAGCCAGTTCCGGAATTTGTGAGCCCCCTTCTCCCAACGGATCAGGAATAAGTGGATCTGGTATACCATTAAGAAAACGCAGAAAGCGAACGAACCTTGATTTATCTCAAAGGTCGGCACTGGATGCATATTTCAATTTAAATCCGCGACCAGACCATGATAAAATGGCTGAAATAGCGGAATTGCTTGAATTGGATCGTGATGTAAGTTTTTTCTTTTTGTAAAATATTTTTTTGTTTTTTTTAATTGATAAATCATTTGCTCAATTTCATTTCGAAATGTTCTTTTAATGTTTGCTTAATTGTTAATTGTTTTGATTCATTTGCTAAATTATTAGTTACTTATTTCATGGTTTTTATATTGCTTTTAATTTTATTTAAACAAGATTTTGAATCAGAAACGGTTTCTCTTTTTATCAGTTTTATTATTTTATATTTACTTTTTTAAACAACTTTACTGAAATCTTTATTATATGTGTAATTTTTATTCCATATTAGAAAATTTTCAGAAATTTTGATTTTGAAATTTTTTGAAAATTACTGCTGAATTTTCTATTTCAGGTTGTTCGCGTGTGGTTCTGCAATCGCAGGCAAAAACTTCGTAGAGAATAGTATTTTTTGTTTTAAGTAATTTATTCGATTCGATTTAGCCTTTTTTTTTCACTCATTTCATAACAATCAGCCATATGCATAATTAATAACTGCAGTGCTCAGTTATTAAAGAAATCAGCAAATATTTTTTTGTTGATTTAATTTGTCAGTTAGTATATACATACACTTGAAGATTGATGGGCTCATTGATGGTGTAAGATGAAATCCGGTTCTGTTTTTTCTTTCTTATAACGTTATTATGTTATTTAGTGCGAGGTATTTTTGTTATCTAATTATTTAATTATGTGAGCTGTTCAATTCTCAGGATACATTTTGTTAAGGTGTTTTTCTCAGTCGTAGTGGAATTTCATCGGATTTGAGAGAAACGATCAAAGTCTCAGATTTTATCAACGTTTCAAGATCTGCTCATGTAATTTGGTTTGTATATCATTGTAATATTTCTTTATGTCCTTCAGTGCCTTGCTGCTAGTTCTTGATCTGTCATTTTATAATTGATGTTTTCTTATAATGCTTTTAACCTTCCTTTTCCTCTGCATTTTTCATTGAAACGATAATAGTATATAGTCGCAATAATTAATTTCGTAAATTTCGTAAAGTGTAAGGTGAATAAATTTGTTTATATGATCTAAAATTTTGGTTTTTTTCTCTCCACTATAGTACAGCTCATTTTATTTTCCTTTTTTGAAATTTTAAAATTTCTAATTTTTTCTTTAAAATTTCTTTGAATAGTGGAAGTGGTAAATTAATTGGTTGAATCAGTGAATGATAAATTTCTTGAAAAATTTATTAAATAAAATGTTCAAAATTTTCGCATCGAATTGTGAAAGATTATTTGAAATCTTTTATTTTGAGCTTTTATTAATAAAGAAGTAACAAAATAACTCATTATTTTTCATAATGTAACTGTTGTGCAATTGTCGGATTGTGATAAATATAAAAGGGACATGTGAAGATTGTCTAACAATTTCCAACTAACATTAGGCATTTATCAACATTTCTTGGTAAATTCTGGAAATCTATACTAAAAGTTCTTGAATAATTTTCATTTTTATATAATATGTTTTATATATTATTTATTTATTTATCATTAATGTATTTGTTCAATATGTTTTTATTTACTTTATATTAATATATTTTATATATACATAGTACATTTTTATAGAATAAAACTTTTTCACCGCCAGTGGTAATTCTCGGGTTCTCGACCAATTGTCCCTAATAGTGCGCTTTTTTGGTTAGAGATCTCCAATGTTGTTCCTGGATTCTGGTGGTCAGTTTATCAACAATATTGATTTTTGATCCTTATCTGTTATCATGATGTCTGGTTCATTATTTGTCTGTTTGGATGAAGGAATCAGGATCCTCGCCTCATTACGATTTTCTAAGGAGTCTCCCATTTAGTCTTGGGAAGATATATGCCATATACTGAGCAGATATTACTTACTTGAAAAATCCTACTAGCAGCTTGAAAAATCTTAGATGAGTTGTTCCTGTTTGCATTTTACATCCTGCCACTATGAATTAGAACTTTTCAAAGATGTTTTTGCACAATCCGTTCTTTGAATCCTGTCTAGTGTGGTAGATCCTTGTTTCAATGGATTTGGTGCTTACTCCTATGCTGCTATAATCAATGCCTCAATATTGCCTTTTAGTCTGGCTTCCTCCAACAATTGGTAGGGTTTTTCATTGTAGATACTTCAGCTATCATTCAATGATGCTATGGAGAGTTTTGCTTTGCCATGGTACTTCTGCATGGTCTTCTTCCAATGCCTACAGATATTTCAGATATATATAGATATCTAAATGTATTATATGTACTTAAATATTCTCTACTAGACCAATTTGTCTACAGCTTGGATTTACTATATATATTGACTGTATGAAAATCTATGACTCAATGTCCCACACATGGATTACGAATGCCTGGCTTTATGCAAAGGTCAACAAGACCCTATCACGGCGCTAAAATGGGCAACTTTCATGGATTTGACCATGTTATGGTTCGAGCAAAAATCAGTATAAAATGGTCTCATGGTCTTTCAACTATCTCAAACTAAAAGATTCAGGGAAATAAGCGAATTCCAAACCAAATTATTGAAGCATCTCAATGGTATAAGATATTGGCAACATCTCTGGAATCTGAATCTGATTTCTGAATCTCTGAATGAATATTTCCAACTAAAAGCTTATCTCCGAAAACCAGCTACTTCCACACTAGGATATATTAGCAAGAAGTGTGCTAGTTGGGCATCGGAAATAACTATCCAACTGTCCAAAAATGCTGCTAAAGCACGAATGTGAGGAGATCTGATTATCGGATACTTTGAAGAAGCATGAAGATAAAGAAATCGCTATTCGAGCGATATGACCTTAAAAATGGAGATGGCAGTTCGATTAGGCGATAAGGAAACTATTCCTTCATGAAGCAACTATAGCTCATTGAAAGACCAATGAAATGATAATACGGAACAGTAATGGTGTGCCTGTTAAGGCTATTAGGGATCGCCTTATAAGAGTGAAAAGATTCTTTGACGCCAAATTTAACCATGATGCGCCACTGTTCCGCCACTGGATAGTTGATTCGCTCATCGAACCATGCGTTTGAATCGCCAGTAGAAAAAAAAGTATCTATAAGCTTAAGGCCAATAAAAATCCTTAAGATGATTTTCGGGTCGAACTCTTTAAATACCATCTTCTCCTTTATATCACACCTTTAACGAATGCTCGCCTTGGTATAGAACAAAGAAGTAAATATTACCAGATGACTGGAGCAAAGCAATTCTGCCCCTACTTCTCAAGAAAGGGCATACTGTGACAATTACCTTCTAAACCTCTCCGAGAAAATTTGTTTTCCTTCTAATAAATTATGGTAACGCAAAACAATAAGATGCGCCCTAACCAAGCTGGTTTTACGCGGTTGTGCTGACCAGATGTTCATGTTAAGAAAGATGTTGCAACATCGCTTCAAATATTTGCAACCCATTGTTGACTTTGCAACTGCTTTCGATTCAACTGGTGTGATTCAATTTGGAAGATAATAGAATGCAGCAATGTTTAAAAGAACTCTCGACTCATAATGGCATTAACTTTGTTAAGCTTTGGCACAAATCCGTGCATATGGAGAACTGGTAGACCCCTTCGAAATAAAAAGTGTTGTACATCAAAGCCGCGTCCTTTCCTCTATATATTCTTCAACTGTTTGACTGATTAGATTATGGATGTCGTTTGCTGGCATTCAAAAGGTGCCCAAATGAATCCAGAGTATGCTTTACAGATCTACTAATGATGTAGTGCTTTTTGCTGATATTATGGCGAAATGCAAATAATACGAAATACAGTGTATTAACTGCTGCAACGAAAATCGGATGTAAATAAAACGAAAATCTTTTCGTCTTATATATAAGAAATTGATAAAATGTCTTTTTTTTATAAACGCATTACCGGTTAAAGAAGTGCTCTATTTTAAATCCTTTGGATCCGGTCTGATACCGAATGGCCAAGCGAAAGACGAATTTACAACCTGGATAACGGCAGCTAGAAATACGTTCATCCGGTTGACGAAATTTTTATGGAGCTGTTGCGAGATCACCATTAAAACGAAAGTTCGCGTCTATATAGCTGCAAGACATAGACAATGAGAGTGCAGGATATTAAGAAGTTAGCCTTTGATCATTCATGTTTCTAAGATTTATTTTACTAGTCCACTGAGCTGATAAAATCTGACATGATTACATTCACCTCCAATCAAATACTAATTACCATCACAGAGCGTCGTCTTCGCTGGTTACCGCATGTTTTTCGTCGCCCACCACAAGAGCTGACAAATATTTCGCTATTTGCTAAACTCTGTGATGAATGGCATTAAAAGTGAGGTGACCCAATCAAGGCCTGCACTGATACAGGAAAGATTTTGAACGCATACGAGAATCAGCGATATATTGATTTATATGGACAGTGGAAAAAGGAATGATTCTATTACTATCAAAAATGGCAACAAATTGGGCATCTTGGAAACATTTTACCAGTGCAGCCAGCCTAAGCAGTAATGATGAGAGTAATGATTAGAAGAAAAAGATTAATTCAAAAGATGCTTGAATGAATAACAATTATTATAGTAAAGCCGGCTTTGAAGGTTGTGGATTAGAAATTTTTTTACTTTGGTTGTTGATTAGAAAGATGGTTAGTTACTTGTTTACGAAAGCACAAAATTCACATCTTACATATTATTTTCATTGTAAAGTTTTTTAAATTAAAAGTCTAAAATTTAAAAAGCTTTAAGCTTTTTATTACAAAGAAGTCTTAAATCATCTCATAAGCATAGAAAAAGCATTTTCCACTTCAATTAATTTTACACGCTTCAGCGTATTCGGTTAATTTTACATAATTTGCTAGAACAAACACTGAATATGCCAATGCCGTTGTCACTGGTTTTTTAATTTTTTAAATGCATTTAAAAAATTGACCAAAAGCTGGAAATTTAACGCGGAAAATTAAATTACAAAAGAAATATAAGAAATATGCAGTGCAGATATGCAGTTATTTATCGGATGATAAAGTCATTAATTTTGTGGTTTTCTTAATTTATTTTTATTATATTTTCATTATTTTCTCATAGCCTTTAAGATAACAAATAAGAAAAAATCATTAAAAAATCAGACAAATGGCAACTGTTTCAAAGGATCATATATAAGGATAATATAGCCGTGCAGCAAACGATGAGATCAAATTGATCTTTCGGTTAAATATAGTGTGATGTGGTCGAAATATGTTTAAGTAAGAATGGATACCCTCTTAAATTTTCCGCCAGAAGAAACTTTTCCTAACATAATCAGTGAAATAAAGAACTCAATCAGTGGATTAAAATTGCTGTGTAAATAAAAATTTTCATTAATATTCAAAATTTATTATTTTACCAATAAACGAGTACCAATTTATTTATTTAGTTCATAACAGTTTTATAAATGTTCTTCTGCAAATTTATTGAGGGTTAAATTTAATTTTATTGTTGAAAAGTAAATATTTGAGTAGAATTTTTATAAAAAAATTATGTAAAATAAGAAAATGGTCGTCAAATAATTAAGAAAACACCAAAAAAATAAATTGCAAAGAAATATTCAACAAAAAATTTATACAAGAAAAAAAAATGAAAAAATAAACCGTTACAATATGAAAAATGCGAAAAGAAAATTACATATTAATATTTCACAAAAATATAGGAAAATTATATATATATATGTAAAATTCGTAACAGCTGTAACCTCATTGCAGACCATAGAAAATAAAAAAAGAAATAAAATTCAATTTCCTATAACAAAATAATTAATAAGTCAACAATTTCTGCAATGGTTTCATTTGATAAGCATTTAGAGAAACTACGAATAGAATTTAGACAAAAATTACGATCACAAGCGAATCGTGGGCAGTTTTTAATGCTCAACTATAAAAATGAGCGGAAAATCCGCAGATGAGTGAGAATTATTTGACTTTTTTTAAAACGATAACGATGAATATCAGTGGCAGTTAAATAATAACGACAACAGAATAGCTAATTTTAGGTTAACAATAGAATAAATGACAATAATTTTTAAAATTTTTTTTCATGGAAAAATAATGCCGAATACGATGAATAGCGAATGATAAAAGGGATTTTAAGCAGAAAGACGTTCAAAAACGAGAAAAAATAGGAAAAAATGGACAATAAATAAGTACCAAATTTGGTTTCTCTAAACCTATAAGGAAAAATGATGGATTGATAAATGATGGTCAAAGAAAAAAATAAAAATGATGTAGCGCTTTCTTGAAGACATCAATGAAGAAATAATTTTGCCGAAAACCTGTGAAGAAAGACCAGCTATCTACGGCCATTAATTCACTCCACATAAGTAAGAGGAATAATTCTTCACTCCCGCTGCCATAAATTGGAAAACTAGCAAAACTACTTGGAATTTCGTTATGTATGGCAGCTTGCGGTTACAGAGAAAATAAGCAAATGAAACCGATGACATATAGAAAAGAGGGATTCAGAGAAGAGAAAAATGTGGCCAATAAAAATATTATTAATATTACACTTATTCATCTATCTTTAATCTTTAATCCAACTGATTTTTCCCTAATTTCTTGCAATGAATTTTTGTAAAGAAAATTTTGGTACAATAAGTGTGAAAAAGGCATTAATCTTCTAGATTATTTATTTATTTATAAAAATGTCGACGAGGCCAAGCGAATTAACCCGATTTTCGACGTAAAACTTACTAAATAAATTATCTATAAATTTCCAGCCACTGCCGCTGGTTTTGAATGTATTGTTCATGAGTGAATGCGAGCTTTTCTTCATTTTCTCGGTTCAAATTAGGGGATTTTTACCGTACGCCTCGTACGTCAGCTTGAAATTTGATAAATGCAGTGCATTATACAAATTTTTATTATGCAGGAAAATTTTGATCATTGGTGGGATATTTATGGTCATGAACAGGACGTGAATATTCAATAACCATTGGCTGAAGCCTATAAATTTATGGCATATCAATAACAAGTCGTTGCCTTTCGTTGACTGGCACAGCCATAAATGCCGTTGAATTGGTAGATCGAACGATTGGATCACGATAAACGCTCGCTAATGCCGCTGCACGAGAAGGTTCCATACACCTTATTTTGCGAAGCGGATCTAAAATAAAAATTGGTAGCACGAATGTACTTTTTATAAACGTTCTCATGCTCAAATTACCTTATACTCATTTATACTCATGCAATAAAGAATAGAAAAGCGAATCTCAATAAAGTGAAAAATTCACCAAAACAATTCAAAGATTTAAAATTTGAAAATTCCATTTCTTTCTTCTAACAGCACTCAACATTTGCGATTAGGTGCATTAGTTAACGCCTTCCATCGGGGAATCTACTGGGGATAGAACCATAGACTTAAAGTCCTCAAAATAAGCTGCCTTTTTAAAATCCATTCTCATTAATTTTTCAAATGTTCAAGCAAAATAAAAATTATCTGACTGATCTTCAAAAAATACCAGTCTTATTATGAATGATCCAAAGCGATGCAACGAAGATGAGTCCAAAAGCGAATGAAAGAATGGAAATAAAAATGACTGCGTAGATAGGAATTCCTTCTGATATAGGACAAACAACTTGTTGTTGAACGACATTTTCTTCTGTCTTTAAACCACTTTGCACTTCTAAAATTTGAAATCATTTACTCGCTTATCAAATTTTATGGTGGAAATTTTTTCCCAAGAGGACGGACAGGTAGAGCCAAAGGCGACATCATATGAAATTAAGTGAAATTTAAAAAATTGGAAAATATTCAAAAATCCTGCAAATATTCCCAAATTCTATCCAAGTGTCCAAGATAAAACCTTATTACCTTCGGCTGGTGAAACATTTTCAGCTTCTATGAACAAATAATTTGACGGCAATGAGACGCTATCGGAGTCGCTATTATTGCTCGTTACCACAGTAATGCTTCCCTCTAGCTCCACATATTGAGTTGAACTGTCATATAATATAAGCCAATCAGGTATCTGATGGTCACCCTGAGAACAAAATTTCGAGCGAGGACACTGCAATGCAACGGAGGAGTGAAATATGCTTTAGAATAGATAATAGAGTAGATAAAAAAAGATAATCATAAAGATAAAAGGTAATCAAAGTAAATCATAATGTATTCAACGATAGAAAAAACTAAATGAAAAAAGAACAAAGTTTTCAGGCAATTTAACGGCTGACCGCTGCTATGAAAAAAAGTTATCAGATAATAAAGGTTTGCCGATGATAAAAAAGAATTATCGGAAAATACCACCAATGGTAAGAAAAGAAATTATTAAATGATAGAAATTTATTAATGATTGTTTATTAAATGACTTATTTTTCCTTAACAAATTTTTATCATTCATTGATAGAATAGGAATTTCACCATGAAAAATATTTTTTTAGTGATGACTGGTCATATAAATTCGTCATAAGCTCGAGCAGAATAAGTTATTTATTCAAGAAACACAAAATATTTTGTAATTTTAGACCCTTTTTTAGATTGCATAAATTATGGTTATCAACCAAAATTTTAATTATTATCTTATCATCTTTCATTTTGCTCATTCTAGAGCTCATCATCTTTGCACTCACTTTTGCCATAGACATTTGAGGGCAGAAATACAAGTGGATCTTCAATACCACTAAGATTTTTAATGACAGATTTACTGTGGCAGTAGCCAAATTAGGATGCTAAAAAGAAAAATCCAAGCAGTGCATTTGGTCATATTATTTCATTCTTGACTATTTCTCTGCCATTATTTCATTGTGAGTGCTATCAAAGCGACGAATTTTGAGTTTGAATGAATTTGATCTGACTATGTGAAAAATCTTACGGATAATTCATTTTCTTAACTAATTGTAAATAAAAAAGGTTATTATGAAATCAATGAAAATTGACAATGGATTAATTTTAAGGTTGTATCACAAAAAGCTTAGGGCGTAAATCAGCACGATAATTGTCGGCATGGATTGAATGGTTGCTTTTCTGCATTCCACGACTAAAATTTATAAATGGAGGCAAGGAGATGTGTTGCATCGACTGAGTTCAAGCACCTGCTTTGATTCCTCTAACAAACCTCTCAAAAGTGTAATTCCACAAGAGACTTTCTTTTCAACGGTAGTACGCGGAGAATTCTGGTGTTGGAAGAACAGAAACAATTACATAAATATAACCATAAAAAACAAATATTAAGATTAAGAAGCAAATATAATCAAAATAATTTCTGTTGTAATAATTATAAACCAAATGACAAATTTGGTTACCAATGGTACATTCTGGAATGTTGCCAACATATTGCCACTACATATGAAAATTTCGCATGATACTGTAATATTACCATACTGCCCGTTTTTATTTGACCTTATAAATTAATTACTGTTATATTAAGTGAAATAGAAGATTATATTAATAAAGCTGTGAACTAGCTTACTAAAAGTTTAGACGACATTCAGGGGAGAAAAACATCTTAAAATATTCGTTGACATCTTCGCACTTTCTCACAAAGGTTGGGAAAAATAGGCTTAACGTTGGAATAGGTCGAGCTTGGCAAATATTTGGCAGAAATGTTCTATTGGCATTCAAATTTCATTTGGTGAGACAGAATTCGAGAAAATATTATTAAGAAATTTCAGTGATTCGGTGAAGAAATTAATTCTCTTTGGTGAAAAGATAGATTTGTGGCAGATTAACACAACTCTTTATAGTTAATAAATTACATTAGCCTAGCTGGTACTGATAAACTGATAACTTGACGAAAAACTTGAACAGAAATTCAATAAAATACCCGTTTACTGAAAAAGCGATTAAGTTTTTGGAGATCGGTATAGCAATTTTTGTCCAACTGGCGAAACGACTATCACCATCATCATCCTAAAATTAATTATTTAAATATGCCAAGTTTTTGAAATAAGCAATATATCTTCATTCGAGATACTGAAATTAGGAAAAATTATGATTTAATTGATTTTTCAATAATTTTGCGAACCTGTTTAATAATTGCCAGCATTTCTTTATCATATACGGCGCATCCATTCTCGATCACAGTCCTATAAAATAAGTACAATTTTTGAATTTTTGCGAATCAAAACAATGGATTCGCTTTTGAGAGCAGCAGAATTTCAGATATAAAGCTCTTTCATCAAAGTCTTCAAGTTTTTCTATTTAAGTAAGTTTATAAACTTTTAGGGGAAATGTGGCGTGTGACATTGCTGCAACTTCAATCAGTTAACAGAGGTAGGATCTCCGTTTTTTGATAGGAGTTACCCTACTATTAGAAGTGAAAACCAGGTATTATAGATCCTTTTTCTTTTAGAAGTCTGCACCATTCTCACTTTGGTTATTTCACTTACGACTTATATGGTGACAGAAATCCACCAGCACTTACAGTGAAATTCTAGTAATGTTGGCGATCTACCAGTATTTCGATCTTTAATTGAATTTTTGGCGAAAGGTTAAGAATTTCAAACAAAAAATGGTGCTTGAAGAATTCAGTTCATAAACAATGGCAAATTTATCTCTAATAATTCATTTAATTCATTTAATTATCTGTTTTCATATTCTAAAATGAAAAATAACCTTTTAAATGAACCATTCTTTTGCATTTTTTTAACCTCAGGTGTGAAATTTATCCAACATTGCTTAGGGTAAGTTCTTAGCCCTAGAAATTCGAATAGTATATAGTCTTCAATCATCTAAAAATCTCAGAAAAATTATTCGTGAATCCTTGGCTTAAATTTTAACTTTTGCGCTTTCCGTTTTCATGTGCTTTTCGTCCACAAGTCACATTAATCTTTAAAATTCATTAAGTTATGCAAAGATTATTGTATTAATATAATGTTATTATATCATTACAATATAATATTATTATATTAATACATTAAAAATTTCATTTACTTTATCGAACTCCAGCAACACTCAGTTATGTTGAGCAAACTCAATTTGCTCAGAGTGAAGACGTTTTGTCGAGACCGGTTTCGCTGGAATCTCACCAGCACATTAGTCGATTTCGACACTCCACCATTTGCGAAATGAGCTTACTAAAGATGTCTGTTGTAGCCGAAATAAGGATTGATTTAGCAATTTTTAAAAATTTATTCTGCAAAAGCAATGGTTTCTTGAACAGTTTTAAGAATTAATTGATCATTAATATTACTTTGTTGAAGACCTCGTGTGTTCGGTTCAGCCATAAGAAATAAAGTTGAGCCAAGTGGTATCGAGCGTAATATAGGTGGTTGCTGTTTGAGTCGATAAAAATCAGGAACAGTTAAATTGAACCGTGTTGGGATCATTTCAGCCTAAAATAATTTATTTTTTAGCTAGAGATGCTAGATGATGTGCCGACAGCTACGGCAAAAATCATCCCAAGGAAATCATCTTTTCGTCTTACGTATCAAATGCCGATAAACTATTTTAAAGAATTAATCCTAATTTGAGGAAGCCAAGTGGTATCGAGTGTAATATAGGTCACTCCAGTTATGCCGCATCAGCCCTTATAGGTCAAGCAAAGATGAAAATGCAGCGGATGATCGCAGCTGGAAATGCCAGTTCTTTCGTTTTGATAATAATTTCGCGCCGCGAAATTATTATCAAAACGAAAATTTGCATATATCTGGCTGCAGTACCATCTTGTTATATAGCTGCAAAACATAGCCATTAAGAGAGGAAGAGGAAGACTGAGATACTGAAAAGCTAATGAGAAGGCATCTGGCTTTGACCATGTATGTACATTTTACGTGTCTGCTGATAGAATTTCACATACATATACCTTTCCTTAGACCAATATACAGTAATAACATCCTTAGCACCGCCTAGATTGGTTAAATCATGTCCTTCGCCTGCCTAAGAATTTACTTTATGCATATTTATCACTGTTTATTAAATCCTAGATGGATGATGCCAAAGGTGAGGAGGGCCAATCAAGGCTTGGATCAACCAAAAGAAATTTTGAAGTATGGTCAGGCCATCGACCTATGGGCTTAGGTGATGGAAAAAGGAGTGTCAGAAATGGCATCAGGTCGAGCTTGGAAATGATTTACTGATGCTTTAGCTCTTTAATCCTTGCTGATACCAGAGATTCAACGTCCTAATTTTCATTTGCCATCTATGGCCAATAAAATGCAATCTTCAACTCTGATCGTAGTTCAATTTCTTGCTGTCCAGCCATCATCGAACCTTTGCTGATTGCTACAGTCACTATTTGGCCATTTTTTGCACATTTAATCGAATAATCTAGTAATAAATACCTTTAATTCTACAAATGGAATAGCACATTCTACTTTGAAGTTTTCAATAATATTTCTAACACTGTAGTATTTTACCTGAAATACTGTAATAAAATGTGATAGATTTTATATTTTATTTTCATTAGCAGTTTTTTCAGACTAATTTTTCCATCAGTAGCCTTTCCCATTTCGATTATAAATAGTATTTCAAATTAAATAAATTTGTATTTTAATAGATATCGGAAGAAAATACATCCAAGATTTAAAAAATCCAAGTGTTGCTGGGGACCACCTGAAGTTGTACTAGAAAGTGCCCTGTGAACAATTTCTACGTGCGGGTGCGTGGAAACTTGCCTCACCTTACTAAGCTAGTGGAGCAAGTCTGGAATTAGTAAGTGACCACTTAATTATCGATCATTAGTAGACCAATCATAAGCAAGCAAAATCGCTGAGATAATTATGAGTTGGTTTCATCCATAAAGTAAATTCAAAAATATGCATTTTTTATTATAAACATTTGTAAACATTAAATAAAAAATAATGAAGAATACAAATAATGTTATAAATAATTTATTAAGGAATGCAAGAAAAAATTTCATTGATTCTTTTTTGCAGTAATTATAAAAAAACATATTGTTATCATATGCATTTACGAAAGAATACGAAAGTAATAAATCTTAAAAATTGGCAAGCAAAAACTTTTTGGTCAATGCCGCTCATCTGAGCAAATAAGAAAGATGAATAAATTCTTCGGCTTTACTTGGCATTCAGAATATCGCATTTAGAGTCATACCGATTTAGATGTCTCCCAGATTAACAAGGTACATCAAATTTTGAACCAGGACTATCTGATGAAAACTAGACTATTAGAATTGCACCAGATGTCAGGAACCAGTGCATCAAAAAATATGGCCATTGAAAGTTACGCTGACAGGACAACATAATTTGGAACTGATAATGAATAAAAAGAAATATATGAAACATATTATGAAGGAACTGTAGAAAGGTGTGAAAAAAACTATGCGAACGAAAGCCACGCATCCACATTAAACGAGAAACAGCTAGTTGTCCTATGCTTTAACACTGAAAAAAGGAAGCTGCTCTTGCTTTTTCAACTAAAGACCACCTCCATACTATATCCTCGACAAGATAATCCGAAAAAGGAGATGTACATCCAACTTCGGGAATTTTTTTCTTGAAAAAAATCACGAATAAATTTGCTGAATAAATGTGCCTTTAACATCGACTAACTCAGTGAACAATATATTTGAAAATGCAAATACAGCCCTCATAATCCCTACTAGTGACCAATAATCTACAACAGAACATGGATATAGAATCACGAAGAATAACGCATATCGTCTCTGGAAAGTAAGCTGTAGGATACGATCAAAGCACAATCTAGAAAAATTAATTAGCTGATAGAACCACAAAAGAGTGTAAAGATTAAAAATAGGACCAGCTTCTGGAAAATATTAGAAGAGCTATTCCATTAGAAGCTCTAGAGACTGCAAAACTTATACCACTGGCCGCCAGGCTAAGATGATATACGGAGAAGAAAAGGCCAAAAAGAAAAATGCCTTGTTCTCCAAAGAACATATACTCTCCAATACATACTATCAATTGCCTACAACAATATAATAGAATATAATAATATAGTAAAAGCAGAGCCATAAACAGCAGAAATTAAACAAAACTGGAAGAATATATTGGAGAAAAAAAGATTCATAACACTAAAGTAAAGTGGCTGCAGAATCAGAGAACCAGCTCTACCAAGCTCTCAGGGCAGGAATCGATCACCTTAGCAGACATTAGTAGATATCCAGTACTGGACAGAACCTGGTGCGGACATATGATCTAGAATAACTGGCCAAAGAAAATAATAGCGATTCATGAGTTTCTAATTCAGATGAACCAGCTGCTAACTGGTGATCATCCAGATTGATTAGTACAAGACATGATGAGAACAATAATCAGAACGAACCATCATAAAGGAATAACATCATCCAACTACCGACCAACATCCTGTCTACTCACAATCCTAACAAGCATAATGGTCATCAAGCTATAAAACCATATGAGCATAGTCTGGATTGACTATAGGGAAGCTTTTGATTTAGTGGATCTGTAAAGGTCTATCTCCATATAAAGCCAGGATCAAGATTTTCGTCGAGAACTTAGTGGGACCATGGAAAACAACGTTTGAAGCCAAATCAAAACAACTTGCACAAGTGACTATCATATGCGGCATATATCAAGACGAAACATTGTCTCCTCCATTGCTTTACATGGTCTAAATATCCTCAATTAGATAATTTCAAGAAGCATATATGGATACCAGTTCAAGAATGGGAGCCATTCAGACTAGAGAAGCATGGTTGGATGGTGGCAAAGAGAAGGCAAGTAGTTAGGATTGGCGATATGGAATTATCAATTGGGCACATGATATATATGCAGACACCTACAAGTGGTAAATAAGAATCAGAAATATAAACATGTGATGGATATAGTAACATCAAGTAACAGAAACAGAACACCAGGGACTAAAGGACGAAAAAACTAGAAAAAATGTGGAAAATGAAGATCAAGGTAATTCAGTGTTGGTAAGAGAACTAGAGGTGACTTTTAAGCTAAAAAAGTGACAGATTCTTGGAAGAGCTTCGGAGATCTCTAGCATTGCTAGAAATAACTAAGACACTGGGCAGTCCTCAAATTTGCAGATCTCTGCTGAAGGACTTGAGGTTGAGGATGATCGTTACGAACACAAACACCTTGGGAAAAAGATTATATATATATAAAATAGATCAGCCAATTTTAACTTGAACAAGTAATTTTCCAAAACTTGGTTTAATAATTACTAATAATAATCGCAGTTTTAACCACGAATTTTAATTTCATGTTTTTGTCAATATATATGAAACGTTCTCATCTGGAATGCAAAATTATGTTTATACCGAGATATGATGAATAAATTAAATTTGAAGCCGTAATTCGAATTTTACCAGGTGCAGTGGATCGAAATTGCAGTAGACTATGCAAACCAATTAGTAAGAGCAGAATTTTGCCCCATAATTTCTCGATTGGAGGCATTAATTACTAGAACGAATTACCCAAGGACTATTTTTGCAGACCCGCTCCCAGTTTCAAAAGCAAGTTTGGCAGTCTTATTCATGAAATTTGAAGATATATACTGAATAAATACAAAAAAATACCTGAGCTACAAAATTAAATCCATTACCATAAACCTTTCTTACCATATCACAGTCATTATAAAGACTCGAGACAATGTGATGCTAAAAAGATTATCCAATTGCTTATATTAGCCAGCACTTCCAAGATAAAAAAAGGAAGCAAAAATTGGCTATCGAAATAGATTGACAGCTAGTTCATAGAAATAAATAAACTGAAATGAATCTACTTCTTTCGTCATATTCAGCCGTGAACAACAAGCATCGGACGTCGAATTGCCGATGCATATTTTACCGAGCCAAATCATGTCCCGCATTTCTTTCGTCATATCCTTATGCAAATTTTGGCTGAATTCTAATACAACCGCCATTCTAAAAAATTACGAATAAAATAATGAAGGAGAAAGTAATAATAACTAAGATTATAATTGTAAAAATTTATTATCAGCTGAAACCACTAATTATGTCAGCTGATATCAGGAATGGACGATTTTTGGGAAGATAAGAATTAAGCACGAGAAGAAATTACAAGTTCGGCCAATAAATCCGGATGATCTACCAACTGATTAGAGTGGAAAAAAAGCAGAAAATGTGGAATACATTATAATACTCGCCATTATAATACCATAAATCTTATTATACATATTCCCTAAATATTCTCAAAAATGAGAGATCCAATATGCTTTCTCCCTTACGACACTTTAAAATTGTTCTGTGGTACTTAACATTCCCTCAAGTCCCATTTCTTATAAGCGCTAATTTAAATCTTTAAATTTAAGTAATTTAAATCTTTAGCACAATTATTGCATTGAAAAATTGTTGAAGCCTGCCTCATAGATTTTATATTTGCCATGCACCAGCACTGCAACTTAACTAAATTTGGGCTTCTTCATTGCAGATAACATTCCCATTTTAGTTTTTTTCTACTTTTTTGCAGTTGAATGCTTCTTTTACACTTTTTTCTGCTGTCTTTAACATACTTGCTACATTTTGATATGTCTGTTAAAATTTAATAAAGAATCTTATCTCGCATCTGCAATTGCAGAACCTTTATTATTGTGTTTTCATTGATATTTTTCTAATTCTTTCACATCCCTTCCTCAGATGATTCCATTAATCAGCTTATTATGCAATTGCTAAATTACTTTTTTCTATAAAAAAAAGTATTTTAAATTTTATTTGCAATCTTATAAACTTCGTAATTATCACATTTACGAAACTATCTTTCTGCTTCTATGGAAATGAATAATCTTATCATTAAAGTTAAATCTATTTAATTGTTGGAGACCCAAGAGCTATCCCATGGCTCAGTGGCGAATAGGATAAATAAATCGCAAACGGCGCTCGTGTATTCCAAAATGCTTAGTATTTCTAACCGCAATATATGTTATAAATATGCAGAAATATTAATATTAAAAATGGCTGTATAAGTCCCAGAGCTAAGCCTTCTTAATTTTTGGTTTAAAGCCATAACTATAATTGCTGATTCTTATAAAAATTGGTTGTACATAGTCACGGTTACGATTATCACTCCCAGAAGGATACGATCAATCGTATGGAACCCAGGAACCCAGTAGATCGGTTGGTCTACGCTCGATTTAACGACAAGTTTTGCAGCATCATGCTTTATATGGATGATTTGGATAAAGATAGATTATATGCTGAGCTTAGCTTGCAGACAGTTTTCTCCTGAAAAATGGCGTGATCGTGAAAGAACGCGCAGAACATGAGGATATTCCACTATCTTGCTTAGTCGTCGGATATAACGTGACAGGTGGTATGGTATGAAGAGCGCCTTCGTCGCTTTGTTGAGCATAGCCATTTTTATCACCAACAGTGCTTTTAGCTTTTAGTTATCTCAAGTTAAAAAATCCAGAGGAAAGGCTTTAAAAACATTAGTGCTTTCGGAATTGCCGAAGAATATTAATTTCAGTTGAAGACCTGTTGCCAGAAGTCCGTCCTATACATGACTTGGAAAAAAGGCAAGCCAGGTCTTAGAGATGGTCCGGATGCCCAATCGCTCTGCCAAACCGTGTGCCAGGAAATGTTAATATCAGCAGCTCCGTACAATTAAAATGGTCGCGAAAAAATAAGAAATCGATGCTCGACGATGTGGCATTGATATGGAAATAGCAAATCGAGTAAGCGATCATCGAGAATTATCTCGCCAGGTTCGCAATGCAACCGTAGTTCCCGAATTTATGCCAGAACATGGCTAATATAGTGGAACATCATTTCAAATATAAGAACTTACTGTTACATGTTTCATCAATTTTGATTTCATCTGCTTTTTTAATCGATCAGTAGGAATCTCCATGAATCGAATCTCTATCTTCATATCTAATGACCCGGCGAAAAATGAAACTCAAATGGCTTTAATGACTTTAAATGGAGCTCTGGAATCACTGTGAAATCAGCTTCAATGAAGATTCACATCTATTTGATTGAGTACGCCCAGTCCTACTATATGGCTAGCCAATGAGAGTGGGAGCTACCAGGAAAATATAGTGGGAAATAGTTGAACATATCTGCTTTGGACCATCCTCGCATCCCATGTGTCTGCCAAGCAGCTTCAAGGAATGACATTGGATAAATTTCACTCAATGTATCCACTTCCGCTCGATTACCATTTGTATTGAAAATACGGTCAGAAAGTGTTATCTGCGCTGATTTTGCCATCTTCTTCGTTTCTTATCACAGGAATTTAAGCATTTATGCAAATCTCGCTACTTGCCAAATCTTGTGATCCCTGATGATTGCGATGTTTTTCAGGTTTCAGGTTTCCTTGTTGAATATTTGTCAAAAATTTATATATCTACTTTTCACCATTGTATTTTTATAAGATGTCGAATTTATTAAACATTTTATTGGAAAATACATTGATGGTAAGAAAGGCCCATTCATTTTCTTAAAGTAACGAAGATATTTGGTCTACTAATTTTCCATTCAATGAAGAAACGAAGAATGACAACGAAGAAAGAAAGAACAAAAGAACTTTAGATTAAATAGTTTTAAAAAACTATTTTGAATATTAAGATTATTAATATTCATTATTAATATCATTAATATTACTATATTAAGAACGAATTTTGTAATTAGTATTTAGAATATTTATATTAGAATATTAATATTAATGAAATCTTCGAAAATTAATGAATGTCTCGTTGTTGACCGCAGATAAAGTGATTAGACATTTCCATCGGGAAGTAATTTTACTCATTACTGACTCGATAAGTTGGCGCAAATATTTATGAAAAGTAATATATATTTAATTAATGAATTGTTGGCTTTTTCTTCAGTGAAAAAAACAAAAATAAGAAAGGAAGCCAATTTTAAGTACTTAGGAACTGGGTACTTTATTCTGCAAATGTCAAGATAATTTATGTAAAGAAAGAATTTTCAATCTTCCATCTTCCCTATTTCTAATTCATCGGTGAAACAAACATATCATAATTATAACGCTTATAAAGTAAATAAAATTTTCGGCCCCTAATAGTTTATTACTCAGTACCATAATAAAAATTAGATCATAAGTTTAGCTAAAGCCAGGCTGCTGATATTAAATTTCCAATCCATAAAAAGCGGTTTCCTAAGAAATTTTTAGAGATGGTTAAAAAAAATATATAGAATAAATCATGCAATACGGAGGAGAAAAAAATTCCCAAAAGTTCCTAAATGAGTAAAAATATAAAAAGGAAAAATGAAATAAAATAGTATTCGTCATATCAGTAATGAGGCTAAAAAATTACCGAGCACGGAGATGATTTCCTGACGAACTCAATTTTTCATTATTTCCTTGGAAAATATTTTAGAATTTAGGGAGCAATTTAATAACCCGCATGATCGAAACCAACAAGAAAGAGAATAGATTATCTTGTGCTCAATCGAAGAAAGTTCAGGCTATTTTTTCGCAACAATACGAGCTAACATAATCAAAATGGGTTAGGAACACTGGAGTGGATCGCCATCTTCAACTATCGGAGACGTAGGAGGATAGTAAGCGTCTCAGCAATGAAGCAAGTGGTGTCAGTCTAAGCAATGAGAACTTTAAAACTTTAAAAACTAACCTATCTGGTTGGCATATTACATACAAATATGGTAGAATAAGATCTCGTTCACTGCTCCCTTTCGCATAATGCAAAACACCTGAAATGAGTAAAATTAAAATAAAAAAAGAAAGGTTATTGTGCGATCAATCTGTGTTTTAAAAATAAAATTCTTGTAAGTATTTAATAATCTTTCCAATTTTCTATTTCTCTTCTTTTATTCATTAAATTTTCCCAAGAAAATTTTGAGAGATGGATTTTGGGATATTTTACCTCCAATTAGGATAATTCTCTGACATTAAAACAATTTTGGATTTTGGCCAAAATTATGAATTCCATAGCCATCTATAAATCCGCGTTATATAATTATTCTTAAAACTCCTAAAATAGTTAATAATATCCTAAAAATCTGAAAATACTGTTTCCTTTAGCTTTAGCCTTGGAAATGTACTTTCGAATCCGTGGTTGAATTTGTAAAATACTGGGATTAAAATAAATATTGTTTGGAATGAATGAAAAGAAGGCAATTCAAAAGTCGTCACTATACAAAATTGTTGAAAACAATATTTCGTGCTTTCCACTTTTGGCCTCAATGAGCTTCGCTAATCAAAGATTGCAAATCAAAATTCAAAGCACATTTAGGCTTTGCTTTACTTTCTATTCAGATTTCTCAATTTGCTGGCTTTAACATCTATTTTCTTGACAATTGAGTTTAGAAATTCATTCCAGCGAAAGCGTTCATTCAACTAATTTCGGCTATTTCAAGAAGTTTGATGAAATATTTGAAAAAGAAATGGAAAATGCTAAAATGCAAGAATCGCTTACCACAAATAACAAAAAGTGTGAAAACTGTGAGAGCCAATGATGACATAGCAAAAATTAATAAATTTTTGCTAAGATATATATGTATAATGCTGTTGACGAAATCAACGAAATATAATCGCGATCGTTAAACTCCCAACGATTCGTGGACAAATGATGCGGGATTCACAAGGCTGCACAGCACAAAACGCAGCTAGCTATTGCACTATATTGCACTATCTCTCCTGCAACGAATTTAGCACAGTACTGTGGATTAACATAAAAAAAAACGAAAATTTCCATGACTGATATATTTAAATATGGCAAATAGTAGCAAAATTAGGGGCAAAATGCGCAGATTACCATTTCGACTAGACCATTATCACCCCGATGTAGCAAACTTTTTTAAAAGGCCAAGTGGTGCCAAGGCCATATCTATACTTCTAAACCTAAGCGACTCTCCGGCTCATTCTCATCAGATAGTGGAGCGAGCTTAACCAGAAGCGATTAATGCTAACCAACTTAATTATTACCCTTACACTAAAAATCTCACTTCTATCACTATGAAAATTATCATTCATTAATGCCAATAAGTTATGAACGATGAATTCTTTTGTCCTTTTTTTGTAAAAATTTGGGAAAAATCTATTGAAGGTTTCTAACGATTGTCATAAAAATATATTTATTCATTAATGATAATTTGCAGAATGAAATCGAAAATAAATAAAAATTTGCGGATTACATTCACAAAAATAAGAAAAGAAAGATAACAAATTTAAAAATCGAAATTAATCAAAAGGAGAGAAACGAATGTAATTTGTAAATTTTCAAAGCTTGAAATCTAAAAAAAATAGAATGAAACGAAAAAAATTGAAAACAGGACTCTGTCACCGTATTTCAAGGTTGATTTCGAATCATAAGCAAATGGTATCATTCGCGAAAACCTTCTGCACACGTGCAAAGCTAAATGATGATGATGACGAGGAAGAAATTCTGATTTTTATGGTCCCATTCGCATCTCACGCGAATTATTCGAGGTATTCAAAAAAAGCTTGGATTCAGAATCACAAATTTTGCTGATGCTGAATAGAAAAAATTATTTGGATGACAATAAATATTGTTTACTTGTTATATGTTCAACGAAAAAACAAATAGCTTCTCCTTCATGGCGTCCAACGTATCGAAAAATTTAGTATGATATGCTGAGAATTCAGGGATAATTCTGGAAAATCTGCGAAAAAATTGATAGTTGATATAGAAAATTGAGAATTACGGTCGATAAGAAACGATCAAAATCGAATAAAAATGAGTCTAGGTTATTTCTCTTAAACCAGTTATCAAGTTGACTGGTGAGCACAGAAAGTGGTAGCAAAGACTGAAAAAATCGACAAATCTGCACCATTTTGATTAGAGATAAATTAATTTATTAACATTAATTAGAACCTTAAAATTGCACAGAGATGTACTATTATTAAATAAAAAGCCACACAGACACAAATAATATTGAAAACTAACTGATAAAAAGCAAATAGCATAGGATTTCCGATTCCCGTTTTTGACAAAAATAAACCTGTCATTGACAATAAGAATTCTTTTAATTCAAAGCTTAATGGCGATAAACAACATTTAAACCATAGTTTAAGGAATAAATTTAAAAAATTAAAGAATAAAGAAAAGTTCTCTTAGATGAGAAAAATTTGCCAGTATCACCAATGATAATAAAAAGGTCTTATTGATAGTCATAAGGCCTTTTCAATTTAATCGATAGTTTCTCGAAAATATTTTCATATTATCCTCATGTTATCTATCATCTTTATCTTTTATCTTACGATAACAAAATATGTAAATACTGCCACATCGGTGGCAATAATTCGAAATAAATGGTTAGCTTCTCTGATTAGGCTTGATCAGAATATGATCGAATAGTGCAGTAGCCTTATGTCTGCTTCAAGTTGGCAGTTCGAATTCTCCTTGGATTTAAAATATTCTAAAGGTAGGATAGCCAAGTGAATAGTATGTAAAAGGATATTGGGTTGTAAAGTATCGAGTATTTGACTATTGCGCCCAATAGGATTAAAAGCTTAATAAATCCAGTTATTATATTAGCAACCTATACTTTTATCGCAGACTCCCTCGGCAAAAATTTCTGAACATAATAGCTTAAACAGAAACAGAAAGTGCCGGATTCTTCAATTAAACTTATTGGTTGTATAGACTCGCTCAACTGGCGACAGATGATATTTTTATCAGAAGTGCACTCAGGCACAATTGCAAGCGGACCATCACATGACTTTTCTTGAGATCTGTGGTCGAGCCCAGGGCTTTAAAAAATAATCCGTGCATAATCAGGCATCAGTGATATTTTTCATGAAATCTACATATTTATTAGAGACTGTTTAAAAGAAGTGTAATTGACGAAAGAGAAATGAAACTTTGATTCAGGTCACCTGCTAAAGTCTTTTTTATTTATATATATTTTTGCTTGCTAATCCTCATTTATTTCATTTATACCACTGCACAAAAATAACAACTGTGGCAAAAGCTATGATTAAATGCCGGATGTCGAGAAATTCAATAAAAACCAAAACCAAACTTGTAGTTCTCCTCGGCAAAAATTTCAACTAACAACCGGTGGATCGAATTTTACCAGAAATGGCGAGGCTAATCACTTATCTATGAATATATATTCTTATCTATCTATATAATATGTAATATACTCTTATCTATCTATGAACTTTGTTTATGAATATATCTATGAAAATATTTGAAAGTTTTAGGAAATCGTTTTCTTTTAACTTCAGCACACGAAAGTATAAAAAATTTTTAAAACTA